TTTCTTAGTTAATTCTCCATCTGTAACCACACTGCTTAAGGTAAAAATGGCCGTATGATTTGGTCCAGCACAATGCAATTCTGGACCAAATTCTGTGACCCTAAAGCTAGAAGATATTTATATTATAGGCAAAAAAACCTGCTAAAAACGAAGGACAGATCAGGATATGTGGTTTATTGTAGGGTCAGTGGCTGTCAGTATTTTTATTTTCCTTTCCAATGTGCATGTGAATTATAAATAAAGCTGTTGTGTTTTCTATAATTAAGGCATTAAATTTAACCTCTGTCAAAGGGTATTGTGATTAAAATTGTGTGATTCAGGTTCTTAAGGTACTGAATTTGACCTACTTCTTTCTTCTACTGGAGTTTCATATATCTTTTGGGAGCTGAAAGGAACTTCATACATAGCCACTGTTGAAGAAGTTCAACAGAGCAGCAAGGCAGAGTTAGAGGCCAAGCAGCAAGGCAGAGTTAGAGGCCGAGCAACAGCCACAATTTCGTCTGTTTTGTACTTAATATGGATCATTGTCTTTGCTAAAAGCTTGAAGAATTCATTTCACGGGATACACTTAAAATACATGAAATACATTGGCTTCATTCTGAAAGGTCAGTCACATCTTTGTTGTTAAGATAGAAAAATGGTGAAAGCTGGTTGCAGACTTCATGTGATAATTAACTGCAATTAATAGCTTAAAGCTTACAGAGCTCCCCTAGGAAACAGGAGAGCCAAGTCTGAATTACCCTTCAGCCAAAGTGGGTTCAAACACTCCGCTCCCAGGCCAGCACACACCTGAAACTCATCTCTTTGATGTAACCATGTCCATGGACAGAAATTAGCAAGGAATAGTTCGCTGAGATGGATCATGTAGGGGTCCTACAGACACAGCTAGGGTTTGACTAGTTTGCGTTGACTTGTCCACAGTCTTCCTACAATCCCTGATAGTGCTGTAGTCTCACAGTCTGCTGCTTTTCAGTATCTAAAGGGGGGCTGTAGGAAGGGGACAGACTTGTTAGCAGGATCTGTTGTGATAGAACAAGGGGAAATGATTTCAAACTAAATGAGGGGAGATTTAGACTGGATATGAGGAAAAAACTTCTTATGATAAGAGTAGTGAAGCTTTGGCACAGAGAAGTGGGGATGCTCCATCCCTGCAGACACTCAAAGTAAGTCTGGACAGGGCTCTGAGAACCTGAGGGAGCTGTAGGTTCATCACAGGGCAGTTGGACTAAATGGACTCAAGGGTCCCTTTCAACTCAAATGATTCTATGATTTCTATCCCAATGCTGAACACCCTTAAGCATCTCATTACTTGGAATGTCTTGCAAATCAATTTTTTTATTACTGGTGAAATTCTAATATCAGTCTGGGTAGCCTGAAGGTCATGGGAAGGAAACCAGATCCTAACAGAACTGGACTGCCCTTTTTCCCTTTTTAGTCACATACAAAAAAAAAAAAAAAAAAAAAAAAAAAAAAAAAAAAAAAAAAAAAAAATTCCAAAACAAGACTCCTAGGTGCTCCTGAAGGATGTTGTGGGGCTGCACATATTTCATTTGGAATCTGAAAACAGTTCATTGAAAACAGCTAGTCCGTGAACGTGGGTATAGATTTTGCTGATGTCTGAAGCAGAATTACGAAGGCAGACCAGTCATACCATGTTTCTTGACTATAGTCTCAGACTGCAAGTACAACACTATCATTAACAATCAGAGCTTATATTGTCTAGTGTTTACAAAGGACCTGGTTATGTTTGGGAATTGTCACAACTCTTCTCTCATTACCCATTTCATAAGCTCCTCCACCTCTCTTTTTAATTTAAGGTGCAGACATACATCTATTGTGTCATTTAGCCTTGGAATATAGGCAGTTTCACTAGTAGTACCTACCCAATAGACAGCACACTTCTAGTAGAGACCTGAATTTGTTCCTTTTCCTGACAAGTCCTTGTCCCAGGCAGGCAGGATAAGCTATTTCCACAAGGTGCTGACATTTCTTGAATGCAGTGTATGCATCACAAAGGTAAGATGTCAATAATTGTTACAGTGAATGAAGTTTAAAGAATACTCAGTTAGGTCTGTTGGAGGCTTTCAATATACTTCAATTTCTCTCATACACAGAAGGAATGCAAATGTTTCCAACAGAAGTAATCACACTGCAGTATTTTTAGATCTATGTGGCTCAGTCCTTTGGCTGTTTTAGGTTCTTAAGATCACTTTGAGTTTGGGCCTAAATCTTTAGGTTATAAATAATTCTCAGGTCAAGACAATTTATTTTTTTTTCCTAGTGAATCACCTTCAGATTTGAATTAAATACAGTTACACAGCAGGAGAAGGGAACATTGCATTGTTGGTAGAACATTTTTTGTCTGAATTTCTGTGTCAGGACATGCATTAAATTACTAATAGTGCCAATGCTCATCTCTGGAACCAAAAGTGCTGAGTAACATTTGCAATTGAAAAGGAATGCAATTCTAGTTCTTCTCTTCGAGCTAAAAACACAAAGTTTCATCAGGTTATTCTGACTGGAATAGCCACCATAAAGACAACGATAATGTTTACTTACTGTAGCTTACTTTTAATTTGATTATATGTGTGCATGTATACATTGTATAAGCATAAAATTTGTGTGTTTATGAGTATCTAACTGTTTCAGTACATGCACATAATATAATCAACTCTCACACACTCTTTTGGTTTTCACTTTTCTGCAAATGGTTTGATAAACAGAGTTTTCAGAAAATCCTTATCTCAGTATGAAATGTAAAACTCAGAATGTCATATCCATGACAGCCTTCTTTCACAATACCCATTTTTTCATATGTTGTGGCTATAACGATAGAAACCGGACCCAAACACTTTACATTGTATTGACAATTTTCATAGGCTAATAATATGATATTGATAATATTGAAAGGAGTCATTTGGGAAAAGAGGAGTTAAGGGAGAGACAGAATTTTTTTCATAATCTGAGAGGAGTTCTGCTGCAGAGCCAGTAGCAAATGTGTTTGGGTTGGGTTCCAAAAGAGTTTACAGATCTTTTTTTTTTTTTTTCAAATCCTTTTTTTAATATATATTTTTTTCTCTCATGGCTTTGTATACTTTAAGAAATGGGAGTAAGACTCTCTTACATTTACAATAGATCTTAATAGTTGCAAAAGATGTGTACCAGATGTCCAGAGCTGGTTTGATTATCAAGGACTGGAGAAAGGTACATGACAACCCGAGACAACTCTCTACATATCACTAGGCCGTTGATACAGTGTTTGTGAAATAGACATTTTGGCCATGAGGCAAATACTTTATTTTCAAAAGGGATTTGTTTAATATCACTATCTTAAGAAACATTTTATCTCTTCTTCCCAGAATTCGGAGTTCTAGAGTTCAGAGTTCTTCCCAGAGCTGGCTGATGTGGTTGCCAAGTCACTCTCCATCATATCTGAAAAGCTGTGGCTGTCAGGCAAAGTCTCCAGGGAGTAGAAAAAGGGAAATGTCACTTTCATTTCCAGGAAAAGGAGAAAGGAGGAGCCAAGGAACTACAGGCCGGTGAGCCTCACCTATTTGCCTGGGAATGTCATGGAACAGATCCTCCTGGAAGAGTCTTGGGTCATATCAACCATTGGCTACTAGCAATGTTCAAAGGGTTTTGTAAGTATCCAAAAGCATTTTTTCTATCCCATTCTTGGAAGGCAAGAAAATGAGGCAGAAAAGTGTCTCATTTTCCTGTGCCACAGAAACTCTTGCTGGCAGGATGGAATCCTTAGCCCTGGGAGAATCATTTGTTAACTCATAAAATAATTCTCAACTGTGACCTCAGATAGCAGCTGGAACGTAAGAACCTGCTATTTAATAAGGTGAATCATAGAAGATTTTTTGGCTTTTCCCTAAGTTGCGTGGGAGGAGCTAACACCAGAAGATAAACACATGACTAAGCAGTATTTTCAGGTGCATCAAGAACTGAGAGGCTGTTTTTCCAGTCTCCTTTCCCTGTTTTCCTGCATCACTCAAGGCAGGAGGTAAAAAAGCTTAGGTGGGGGGGGGGGGGGGGAAGGTGCTTTTAGTTTGTTTTTAGTTTTCACTGCTCTCATCTATTCACAAAAGCAATAAACTGTATTAACCTCTCCACACTGGCTCCATTTTGCCCATGACGTTAATTGGTGAGTGATCTCCCTGTCTTTATCTCAACTTATCAGCTTTTTCTTCATTAATTTTTCTCCTACTTTCCTTCTGAAGAGGAGAGTGAGAGAGCAGCGTGGTGGAGCTGAGCTGCCCAGCTGTATTAAAATCCTGTACCTTTATAGGCTCATGTGGGAGCAGTGCTTGAAGAGCTACAGCCTATGGGAAGCCCACATGGGATCAGTTCAGAAAAGACAGCATCTGATGGAGGAAGGACCCCATGGTGGAACAGGGACAAAGTGATGATGAAGGAGCAGAAGAGACAAAGCATTAGGGACTGGCTGCAGCCCCCTTTCCCTGTTCCCCTGCACTGCTTTTAGTTCTCACTGCTCTTGTTATTGGTAGGCAATAAATTACAATTTTCTCACTTGTTCTCAGTATGTTTGGCCTGTGACAGAGATTAGCTAATGATACCCTTGTATTTATCTCAACCCATGAGAATTTATTTCATGACATTTTTCCTCTTGCTTGCTTCAGGAGGGGAAGTGAGGGAGCAGCTGTGCGGTTCTTAACTGGCCACCAGTGTGAAACCACCACAGCATCATCCTGCACTAGTTGTATGCTAGGTGCTCCTTTCACCAGAATTTTGAAAACCTTGCATTAGTTTTGAGGGAAAGTGGTATCTGATACATATAGCCATGTCAGCAAACTTAGTGAGTGCACCATATTTGGCTAGCAACAGGAAGACTGTAACCAAATCTGCATTGGGATACAGCCATAGCCTTCTTGGGATAATGCCTTTTCAGTTGCACAAGATATAGTTCCCTTTGTAACACATCTTGCCTCTGATAGCACCACCCTTCTGTTGGCCTTTGGTGTTGATTGCATACTCAGATTACACAGTAACTGAAGTGTCTGAAATTTATTTCAATTAAGATGCTACAAAACAAGGTGGAGAAGTCTTAAATTGTTAGAAACAGCATTTAATGAAACTTTGTTTTTTAGTAGTTTGCTCAAGGATTCAGAGTATTTTATCCTACATCTGTTTTCTTAATGGTCATTGTTTTAAGAACAACTCAAGCACCTAGAAAGTGTTCATCCCTGCTATCCATTCTGCCAGGCTGCTGCATCAATTTTGTATAAGAGGTAAGTGCTGGAACCAGTAGGTAATTTGTAGCATAACTAAAGTGAGGCACTTCTAACTTCCTTCAAAACCTCAGAAGACAGTAGCATTTTCCTGTCTGTATCTTACTAGAGTTCAGGAGATGAAATTAATTGCAGTAAAAGATGCTGAGTTCCGCTGATTAAGAGTTCAGTATAGATGAGAGATAATTAATTAGCTTTTATAAAGTGCTTTGAAATCCTAGTGTGATTCAGTGGTGATATTTAGAAGAATGTGTTTGCTTCTTTCTCTAAGTAGTGTTTCCTTCAGTGTATTTTGTCGTTTCTGCAAATTTTTACGCACACGCTTACTGTTAAGCACATAAGATGTTTCTTTCAATTTAATTGGACTGTGTGCATTTGTGGGAAATAGAATTCCCTTTAGATACTCAGTAATTATCACTGCTTTTTGTATAGTTATGTAATAACATGTATTTATTAAATCAAATTAATAAAATTAACCATTTACTTTATTATTAGAAAGAAGCTAAATTTTAAGAATGTTTGCAATTATCTTGAATATCATATCCCACTTTCCTCATACACGTATCAATTCTCCACTGAAAGCTTTAGCACAAAAAACCTAGGCTATTCCAAGACATGAGCATTATTTATATTTGTTTATATTACAAAAGATCCTGAAGGTCTGACTCACAGACAAAAAGCTCTTTAAACTAAGCAACTATAATGCCAGAACAAATTGCATTCCCTGCTCGAGTGCTTCATAGGCAAGTTAAAAAATGAACCAAAACTGTTCATTCTTGGATAGAAGGGTGAAAGCAAGGACGGGTAACCTGGGAGGAATGAAGAGACATTGCCATGATATAATTAATACCAGACAGGGACACCAAGGGCGAAAAGAAAAGCTTCTATAGGAATATCAGTAATAAAAGGAAAACTATGGAAAATGGGTCCTCTCTGGTAGGAAATGAGAGATCAGGTTACCCTAGATATAGAGAAGGCTGAGATACTCAATGACCTTTTGCCTCAGTCTTCACCGACAAGTGCTTTAGTCACACTGCCCAAATCACAGAAGGCTAAAGCAGGGGCTAGGATGATGAAGAACCACTCACTGTGGGGTAAGATCGGTTTTGAAACCATCTAAGGGACCTCAAGGTGCAAAAATCAATGGGAAGTAATAAGGGGTGTCCAAAGCTCCTGATGGAACTGGTGAAAGAATTTGTTAAGCCACTACCCATCATATTTGAAAGTCATGGCAGTCTGGTAAAGTTCCCCCTGACTGGAAAAGGGAAAATATTCTCTCAATTTCTAAAAAGGGAAAAAGGAAGACTTGGGGAACTACAGGGTGGTCAGTCTTATCTCTATGCCCAGAAATATCGTGAGCAGATCCTCCTAGAAACTAACGAGTTTCTAAGCAGTTGCTAAGACATACGTGATGGGCAATATGGCATCACTAAGGGCAAAGTGTGTGTGAGACAAATTTGATGGCCTTCTATGTTGGGGTTACACCACTAGTGGATAAGGTAGAGGCAACTGCTATCATCTCCCTGGACTTGTGTGAAGCATTTGATATCGTCTCTCATGACATCCTTGTCTTTAAACTGAGGAGACATGAATTTGAGGTGTGGACCTCTTGACGGATAAGGATTTGGCTGGATAGCACAACTCAGCCGATGTCTTGATGTCTAAGTAGAAACCAATCACAGAATAACCAAGGTTGGAAAAGACCTTGAAGATCATCCAGTCCAACCATCAACCTATCCCCAATAGTACTCGCTAAACCACATCCCTCAACACAAAATCCAAACGTTCTTGAACACCAGGGTCAGTGACTCCACTACCTCCCTGGGCAGCCCATTGCAGTGCCTGACCACTCTTTCAGACAAGTAGTATTTCCTAACGTCCAGCCTAAATCTCCCCTGGCACAGCTTGAAGCCGTTCCCTCTAGTCCTATCACCAGGTACATGAGAGAAAAGGCTGACCCCCAGCTCACTACAACCTCCCTTCAGGTAGTTGTAGAGAGCAATGAGGTCTCCCCTGAGCCTCCTCAAGGTGCGGCCTCACCAGAGCTGAGTACAGGGGGACAATCACTTCGCTGTTCCTGCTGCCAACACTGCTTCTGATGCAAGCCAGGATGCCATTGGCCTTCTTGGCCACCTGGGCACACTGCTGGCTCATTTCAGCCAAGCATCAGTCAATACCCCCAGGTCCATTTCCTCTATGCAGTCTTCCAGTCACTCCGCCCCAAGCCTATAGCGCTGCCTGGGGTTGTTGTGGCCGAAGTGCAGGACCCGGCACTTGGCCTTGTGAACCTCATCCCATTGGTTTCAGCCCAGCGATGCAGCCTGTCCAGATACCTCTGTAGGGCCTCACTACCCCCAGGCAGATCCACACTTCCAGCCAACTTGGTGTCATCCACAAACTTGCTGAGGGTGCACTCAATGCTCTCATCCAGGTCATCAATAAAAATATTGAAGAGGACAGGCCCCAGCACTGACCCCTGGGGAACAGCACTCGTGACAGGTTGCCAGCTGCATTTAAATCCATTCACCACCACTCTCTGGGCCCAGCCTCCAGCCAGTTCCTTATCCAGCCAAGAATGTATCTGTACAACCCACGGGCTGCCAGTTTCCGCAGGAGAATGCTGTGGGAGACAGTGTCAAAGGCCTTGCTAAAGTCTAGGTAGAACTACATCAACAGCCTTTCCCTCGTCAACCAGATGGGTCACTAGATCATAGAATGATCAGTGATGATCTGTCATGGTGTGCTTGGTAGCAGTCATGGTCAATGTTTAGGCACTGGTATTGGGACTGACTCTAACATCTTTGTCAGTGATGTGAACAGTGGGATTGAATGTACTCTCAGCAAGTTTGCCAATAACACCAAAATGATTGCTGTGAGCAATATGCTAGAAGGAAGGGATGCCAGCCAGAGGGACCCTGACAGACTTATGAGGCAAGATCATGAAAACGAGGGCCAAGTGCAAGGTCCTGAACCTGGGCTAAGGCAGTCCTGAACTCAAATACAGGCTGCCAGAGAATGGGTTGAGAGCAGCCCTGAGGTTGAGGAGAAGCTAAATATAACCTGGCACCATGCACTTCCAGCCCAACCATATGCTGGTCTCCATCCAAAGAAGCATGGTGAGGTGAAGGACGTGACTGTCCCTCTCTAGTCCACTCTAGTGAGTCTCTACCTGATGATCAGAGGACTGGAGCACCTCTCTTAGACAGACTGAGGGAACTGGGCTTGTTCAGTCTAAGAGAAGGCTCTGGGAAGACTTTATAGCAGTCCTTCCAATAAAGGAAAGCTAACAGAAAACTGGAGGAGTGTAGTGATGGGACTACGGGTAATGCCTTTAAAAGTGGGAGATTTAGGTTAGATATAAGGAGGAAATTCTTCACCCTGTGGGTGCTGAGGCACCGGAAAGTAGATCAGAGAAACTGCCTCATCACTGGATGTGTTCAAAGCCACGTTCAATGGGGCTTTGAGAAATCTGTTCTAGTAGAAGCTGTTCCTGCCCACGACAGTAGGGCTGGAACAAGGTGATCTTTAAGATCCCTTCCAAATCAAAGCATTCTATGATTCTGTGATCCCAAACTCATAGTCAACATGTGAAACGAAGGTAAAAGGCAGAAATTCTGCAGGCGAACAGTAAAGAAGATTGAAAGAACAAAGCAATCAGTTTCGATGATGCCTTCACTGATAAGGGAAATTTGCCATTGACACCAGTTCTGTGGGGACTTTATCGTTGAATCTGAAGAGTGTGCTTGGCATATTCACTTATATTTACATACTACTTTCATTTTCATAGCCTGAGATAATTTAGAGACCTCAATATTTTGATTATAGAAGTAGCTGTGGAATTGCATTAGAAAGATAACACTACATTTATCTGATGCTAGATTCCAACAGCTATAACTCATCTCATCGAAGTATTCTGAAATTTTACATCAAGTGTCAAAAGACTTTTGCTATTTTTTTCTTTCTACAATGGGATGCACATTTTATCACCAGCCCCCACCTAGCCCCCGCCTTTAAAACAGCATTTTAGTTTTAAAATAAGAACCATCCAGCTCATGAACCATTGGCAAATAACATTTCTTCTTGATTGATTCTGCAACATAACTTCAGTTAAGTGTAGCATGACCGGTTAATTGAAAACTGCTTTCCATTTAGAATTCACTCTCTGCTAGTCAATGATAAATAATTATTTCATCTGGCTCATTTCACATAATAAACTTTAAACACTCAAGCCTGTCACTGACTTTAAAAAAGCAAAGGTATTATTCTGTATTCCACAGCTTTCTAATACTCTATTTTATGTTTCATTCTCCTCTTTTATGACACTTCTTTACTTTTAAATTGCACTTATTCAGACAAATGGGTAAGACTGCATATTTTATCTGTGCTTCCTTATTTCCCTGAAGATTGTTCATTATTTGAAATATATTAAAAAAACTGAGTGAACTCTTTGACTCAGCTATTGTGGTGCATGTGCTATAAACCTGCGAGGGTACATTTTGTTTTCAGAACTGAAATGATCACGTTAGTATCTGGGAATGAATAGAAATGAACTATGCAAAACAATCAAGTTGAGAAACAGATGTTGAAAAAATGTGTATTTTGCATTATCACCTTCAATGCTTCATGCTGGCCTAGAGTCATTTTCAAGTCATCTGAGACGAAATTATAGCCATATAAAATACCCTGTTAACATATGAAATGAGAAGATGCAGTTCTTTAGATTGTATTTCACTTTGAGACTTCAGATTTTCTTCAGTACTCAGTGACAAGGTACAGGGCGACATCCACTTTCTGAACTTATCAGAGTTATCAAGTCTTCATTCTGGAAATGCTCCTCCTGTTTGTATTTCTATGATTAATGACTAGGCTATAGGTGACATTTAAATATTTAAATGCATGGCTGCAAAATTTTTATGTCTTATTTCTTTGCTTTTTGCATGTTAAATTTATTTGTTCTTTTTTCTTAAGTTTGCAGTGCAAGCATTTTAGAGACTTACCTTCAATTGACATTTAGACTCCAAGTAGCTTTATGGCATTACTGAAATTATTTACAATAAGATGCAATCACATACTGAGGTACTGGTTTTGTTTTACATTCACCTTGTTGCTGACAATTGGCAGACTAGCATGCAGAACAGGAATCTCAGCTCAGCTACTTGATTTAAGCTGAGTTGAATTTATGCGTCAAGAAAGAAAATAAAATATAAATTCTGATTCCTTAAGCCGTCTCAGACGATTTATTGTAACATATGAAAAAAGAGAGACTTCAAACTGTAATATGGTTAGTGATTTGCATTTGATGGGAAGAGATAATAGCTGAAGAGCACAATGGAATGATATTCACATCATCCTTTACATCCCTTTCTCATCCAATGTAATCAAAGCCCTGTGTTCATTACTGGGAATGTTATGACATTAAAGGTTGAAGAGAAAGAATGCTAAGCCCCTTTTCTCAGACATGGCATACTTCTGTTTTGAGCAAAATGTTTAACTTTCTTTTTTATTTAGGTACATCATCAAGTTTGCCTTCCATACAGAAAGAGGACCTTCTGACATTCAGGTGGAATAGATTAAAAAAAAAATAAATGTCACAGTAACTACAAATTTAAACTACCAAGCTACCAGATATGATAAAATATTTTGGTAAGTAGATCTCGTATAGTTCTACATGGAACATTTAAAGTCTACACTAGGTGTAAAATTCTCCATACCATTGCACCTGTCATAAACTAAAGGAAATTTCCATAAGTGGTCTTGAGCTATTACAGTCAGGAGCCACTCATACTGCTAGAAATATTTCTCTTCCTCATAAAAGTAATCATTTTATTAGAGGAAAAGAAGTATGATAATTTTCTTTTTATAATCTTGGAACACTTTCCTTTGCAACTTTTAATGAAATCCCTGGCTACAAAGCAAGAATTTTGGGACAGATGCTGTTATGATAAAAATCATGATCCTGAAAATTTTTTAACTGGAACCCTGCAAATAGAGTAAAAGTGTGCATCAGTATATAAAAGGCATAAAAATACCTAAAATAATTTTAAAATATTCAGGAGAGATGCATTTCTTGTTAATTCTACCGAGTGCTAGAACCAGTGAAGAGTAACATCTAGCAGTGACTCTTATTTTCTGTTAATCTTACTATTCCTACAGTGAGAAGAGTGCTCTCCTAGCAGATCAGAGCAGGGTTTAGATTGCTTCCTTCTGCAAACTTTTTATTACTGAAGAAAACTAGCTATTCTGTTTTCCTTTCTGTATGATGTAATCTGCCCAAGGATTTTGAAAGCCAGTATTTGTGACAGAAATCTCATATCTAACTGACTGCATATGAGGATTGTGTTCTGGGTTAAACAGATTTAAATAGAAAGAAACATTAAAAAAATGTGTATTCATATTTCAATAATGCATAGATGCCCTTATGCTTGACCAGGCTTGCTCTGTATTAAGTGCTTATAAACCTACAGACCACAGCTACATAAGGACAAAAGATAAACGATTATACAGTTATTAATGAACTATTGCTGTTGGAATGGATATCCAGTGCCATAAAATTTTTTTCGATAATGAAGAAAAAAAGCAGCCCTCTGCACTATAACATGGATATCCCAGATGGGGTGAAAAAAACTGATGTGGGGTGTGTGATCTCTGAGTTTGATTTGGTCACCGACTTTCCTTGGGGAAGTCACCTCACATCTGCTTCTCCTTTGTTCTTTTCCTTATTTATCTACTTCTCTAGATAGGAAGCAGTTTGTCACAAGGCTGTCATCAGCTTATCTCAAGCAGTGCTATCTTATACCTCTGTTTTACTCTTTACTCTGCCACATACTGTGTGGCACACTGGATCTCATTATTTGTCATCAGGATTCCTCCTCTACAGGTGACCTAAGACTGGTAATTAGCATATTTAACTATTAGTGTAGAAGAAGTATACTTGTTTTATACTTGTTTTGATAAGCTGTATTCTTGATGTGTTCTAGCCAACCATTCATCTTTTGCATCTATTAGCTCACCTCCTATAAAAATTACTCCAGAAATCATAGTCTAATGGATAAGTCCAATGTCACAAGTGCTTGGAGGGAGCTCAAAAGGAAACCTAACACCAATTTCTCATCCAGTATAGTAAATGTTTTAGACATCCCATACTTTCCACTCAGCTCATCCCAGGAGACTGTGGTTAAATAGCAGCAGAATAAGTGTTCCTAGATTAACTGTCTCCATTTTCAGACTACATTCACATTTACAGGATTCACAAATTCAACCATTAGTCAAGAAAACATTGAAAGATCAGGGTTTTAAAAAGAAATCACTTCAATGTCGACATGAGAACCTGGAATTCCCATAGAAATAGATAAGTGAAAACACATAAATAATGCCAAACAGGAACAGTAATTCAGAGTATATTAATAAAGACATCTGGGCAGTAGGTCTATAAAACAGACTTAAACCCTCTTTGTATATTAGTGACAGAATATGAGCACAAGATATTTAAATGTTGCTATAACATTATTAAAATTGCAATAAGTGAAGTAAAGCAGTTTTATTTTCTTCTTCATCTCAAGTCACTAATGTGAATGCGATTCTTCACAGTACTTTCAGCAGAGATTTACGTCCTGGCAATGAAGAATCATAAATCATCTTGTGCATTAGAGCTCAGGTACATGTCACAGATGTTTCTGATATTCTAGATATTTCTAATATTCTAAATATTTTGGTCACGTATAGAAAAAGTCATATAAAAAATCCTTTACCCATTAAAATATCTATCTATCTATCTATCTATCTAGATTATCTAGATATTATGATATCTATCTAGATATTATGATATCTATTTATTTAGATATTATGATATTATTTATTATCTAAATAAATAGATATCATAATATCTAGATAATCTAGATAGATAGATAGATAGATAGATATTTTAATGGGTAAAGGATTTTCTCTGGATAGATGGACAAATCTGGATGACATAAACTCAAATCAAAGCCCAGTTAGGATAGGTATTTGTTCAGCAATCAGTACATTCATTTTAATTTATTTGTATCTGCAGAGATCATTAAAAGATTGGCATTCTAACTGCTTCAAGTTGTTTTCACTGTGCAAGCTTGTCTATTTCTTTATAGTTATAGTCATGAAGTTTCAGATAAGTAGTATTCATAATCAAATATCCTCTGCAGACAATCTTATGCCTATCATTATTTTATAATAAATATTACTTGCACACAAATACTAGATAAAGCACATCTTCCCACTTCAGAACACTGAATAAGAATGGTTAAGAATGGAAAAGAATATTTTATTTTAGCTCTGGAATTTCAATCATAAACATATGATTGCCCTTATGTTAATCGTTGGTGACTTTAATACAGTTTTTTAAATTTTTTTTTTTAGAATGTTGGGGAGTCAGTGGGAAATGAAGAAACCCCAAATCTAGTTCTTGTCCAGAATTTTTGTTACATGATATTGCACTTGGCATGTGTGCAAGCTAGAAATACTGTAGAAACAAGCACTGGTCTTTGACTTTTCAACTTTGCTTGCGTACTTGACTGTTTATTCTGCTATTTATATCTCAAAGTATGGCAGAAATACACAGTAAAATAACTTAAATCAGATACACTGTCTTTCAGCCTTTCTTACTTAAAAAGGGGAAAGAATCCCAGAAGTAATATAAATTGGAGAAGCACACATCTTTATTTTGCCCAACCCAGAATGCTTCAGTCCAGCTTTAGCCTCTCTGATGCCCTCAACAGGCCATGAAATTTTGGGGATCTATTTTATATTGCTCCCAGAATACAATTAAAATTTTGCAATAGAATTGCTTATGAAACTAAAAACTTTTTTTTACCAAGCAAAATTTCTAAAGGTGTGGAAGAAACAAAATGTTAGTCTAATGAACTCACTAGGACTATCCAAAAGATGGCTTAGAAGAGACTTTTCCTTCAGATCGTTATTAATGCATTATGTCTTCCACAAGATGGCTCAAAATGACTATGCTCAAATGTTTTGTTGTTGTTACTTGTTTATTTAGTTGTTTATTTGTTTGTTTATCCAAATGCAGAACCTAAGCATAATTCTTAATTTCAGGTTATCAAAATCTGTTTTCTTTGATCACCCAGGCAGAATGAGTTGGAAGAAACTGCTTTCAGATCCTGCCAGCATACTCTCAACACTAAGGACTAAGATATTGTGAAGCTGGTCTCTTATGGATGGTTACTACCTTTGTTTTCTTAGTTTAACCTAAACATCCTCAACATACACAGTGTGCATTCTGAATCTTGCATTTCTTTCAGTTTGTTATTTCAGTGCAATAACTAAGATGTCATTACCCATCCAATCAAAATTTAGTACCCCACTTTAAATGGCACCATACAAACGTAAGCTTTTCACAAAACTACTTTTTACCATTTATTCAAATTGATCATCATAATAATGAGTTATTACCTACCTGTGTGCTTCTGGAGATCTGAAGGACAAAGTTGCCCCTTCCCATTACTTCTCTCTTCCACATTCTTCCTTGTCTTTGGCTGTATTTCCCAATCTTTTTCCTTCTTGACTGAAGGATATCTTCATTCTTCCATTCAATCTCTGTGCTGATGCTGAATTAACTTAATGACAACAGCAGTCAACCTTCAGCAATCATGAGGAAAACTACATCCAAGGATGTCTTTAATAGCAGAAGAAAAACTTCCTAATTTTCAGCAGCTGTTCTTAAAACCCCATCCATAAATAGGCAACTAGTGCTAGCTGTATGCAACATGAAAAAGTGATGCAGAGGGCCATGAAGTGTGTAATCACCTCAAGTGAATTCTGAAAATGAATACTGTTAGAATTTAAGATGTCAGCTGAGGAAGAAAAACGAGAATCTGAAAACCTCGGTTCCTCAGATGCCTTGTTATCACTGATGAAACTGCAAAGGTGCCTAAGGCTCTGCTCTGCACACGCTTCTTTCTGTGACTGTCTTATCTGGATCCAAACTGGGACTCTTTCATTAACCTTCCTACTTAGAACCCTGTAAGACTTGATACAAATGTATCCAAAACGTACCTATAATGTATCTATGGGAATGAGAACAACAGCTTTTATGAGATAAACTAATTGATTCACGGGAAAGAGAAGTAATAATCACTTGATTTGTAGTCGACCTAGATTGGATATTGTGAGTAATTCACACCGGGAATAGAGAACACCCCCCACGAGCTTTTATGCTGAAAAGGTTCAAAGCCATCTATTGGAGACCACCTGAATTAGAGACAATCTTTGGATCTTTCAGATGTTTCCCATCTTTCTTGAAGCTTTCTTGCTGTGCAGCAAAGAACTGAAAAGTCATTGGACTAAACAGAACATGCAAGAATAAGCACGAGATTTTAATCCAAGATTTTAATCAGGAAACTTGCCCAAAAAGGATGAACTGTGGATTCCTTTTCTTGTTCCAAGCAGAGTTTACGTACTAAATGTTAAACAGTTAGTGAATAAAATAAACAAACATGGTTCAGAGCTGGGACTGGAACCTGGTACTTAATCTCCAAGAGAGCTTTGCCATCACTTGCTGCGTTAGGTTGTTGCAGGCATTTTTCTGCAGAAATTAGGGCAGCCACAAACAGAAATGACTTCTAGCTTGTTGTCCAAGACTTTGCTGGGAAATGTGTGATAACTATCAACTCAGGTTGATAGCTCTTCCCAGGCATGCTACAAGGGCTTTGTGTGCCCATCTCAAGGCTGAATCTAGCTCATGGAGAGCCAAGGATGCCTGCCCTCCTGAAACCAGTTCTAACATCTGCACTAGGTATTAAGTGCATACAGGGCTGGTCTCTGTCAGGCCAGCAGTCAGAATACTGCCTCTTCAGTTCTTTTTTTTTCCAGAATATAGTGCCTTCAGCACCAGAATGTAGTGCTTATAGCAAAACTGCCTGTTGGGAATTCCCACTGGCCTACACTGTCTTTCAAAGCAGAAACCATCTGGGTGACTTTCAGTGCCAATTTGGGTCATTCTAACAGTTTCACCATGTAAGTCAAACTCCTGTGCTTGGGAACATTCCTTCATGCTATTTAATTCATTCTTTTAAGTATAGCCAAAGTGATCTATCAAAGTCAAGCAGGAAGCATCTTGTCCTTTCACTAATCTGTTTTGTTTTTTTTTTATTCTACTAATCTTTTTGTGTTTGTTTATTTTTTTCTCCTCTGGCTGCAGGCAGTGGCCCTTGGTGGTTTCTACAGGGATAGCTGCTGTTCATGCAGCACTTTTTGGATGCAGAAGCTGAATGACCTGCACAGCTCAGTGTGTGGACTTTCAGGAGCTTCTCTACAATACGGAAGCAGGAAAGCCTTCAAGAGAAAGAAATTGTGTGAATGCATCTGTGAAGCAAATTTCTTGTATTGTGTACAACACTGAGGTGCAAGTCTTCTCTTAAATTACAAGCTGTTTCTCCATGCATTGGCTGCTTCATAAACATGCTTAATGCTACACTGTTCCCAAGGGGTACCTGACTGACCACTGTAAGTGATAAATTTTTTCATAAAATCATCACCGGTAATTGAAACTTGCTTTTGTTTTCAGCACTGAATGGAAAAGATCTGCCTGGGCATTCCCGATCCCTCTACCAGTTCCAGCTGCATGAAATCCTTTTTAATATAATCTTAGTTAACAATTGAAGTACCCTGAAATAGCTGGAAAGTCTATTTCTAGTTTTGGATACCAAAATGTGCTAACAAATCTTCCTGTGTTCTTCGGCTTGTTTCCAACTGCTTGAGGTAAAACGGCCCCAGGATATTAGGGTATTTACTTACAATTCAGATAGACATTTAAGCACTGACATTTTAGATCTTTGGACCCTGTGTGCCAATGAAGGAATTTGTGTAACACATCGTAAGCCACAGCTCTGTGTCATAGTGCAGAGGCACCGAGTCTGAAGTGGAAATTCACCCTTCATTATGCTCTGTGCTGGATTAACAACACGACCTAGTAAGTCATGGACTGGTGCTCATGCATGCTTGAATTAAGAGTGAAATAGGGCATTCTGGCCCAGCAGTGACTATTGTTACCAGCTTCCTGTAGGTACTGTAAATCAGGGCAGTATCACCTCATTGTTTTTAATGAATTTTAATTCTCACTGAGTCAGCTACGTGAGCTGGGCTTATCCGACATGCTTTAGAACTGCCATGTGTTCTGAACAGCAAATGGAACAGATCTTTCTTAAGGAAAAATTAATACTCTTATACTGCTATTCATTTGGATGTTATGTACAAGAAGAAAATGTGTCAAAGAATAAAAGTTATTAACAACTTATTGCATTTCTCTGTCAACCACCTTACTGTTGAGAAGATATATACAGCTTATGGGTAAATCTTATGGATCGGCTGTTTGACAGGTGTGACAATGGAAGTTTATAAGTTTGTCAGTCATACTAGAGCTCAATTATTTACATAAATAAAAGAGTATTTTTGAAGTTCACCCTTTTTTGGCTATATTCTATAGATTACAGATCCCAGCTATACTGAGTTATGTATTAACAGCAATAACATGAACTGAGCACTTGAAAAAATGAAAAATAATCTAATAGCATTTTGGAAGTATACTTAAAATGAAATTAGAATTATAGTTACAACTTCTGTACCTACTATACAAGAACAACTTGGTTTCAAGCTTTAATGTGCCTTGCTATTCTAACTAGTATGCTGGTTACTGATGTGCCTTATTGTAGGCAAAACATAGAGCCTTTTTCTTTGTTCAGTAGAAAGGTAGCTGCTACCTCAGAACAGACAGTGAGCTTAGATAGGAATGCCTTTCTCAGAACTGTCTCTCCTTCAGAACCTACCATTCTGTGTTTCATCCATGTGCTTCACTGCCAGTTTTCATGAGACTTACATAAGAAGTCATCATCTTGATGTCTCAGTGCTGGGAGTGAAGGGCTGGCAGGCATGCAGCTTTGCATAAAGCTTTTCTCCATATTAAACTGAAAACTCCTGTTTTCTCCCTTCCCCTAGAACTCTTCCACTTAAAAAATAGTTTTTTGATGTGCATGTGCAGAGCAAACAAGAAGCGTTTGCTTAAAAAAAAGTGCAGTTGTGTGAATTTGAACAATATGAGTTATTTTAGTCTGGTAGCTTTTATTTTCCCAGAAGCACGCATGGTGGGAAGGCCCTATGGGTTATGGATTGTTAGCTGCTCCATTTTGTTTTCTTAAATATCATTCTTGGCAAATCTTTAGTTACACCTAAAAAAACAAACAAACAAACAAACAAAAAAAAACATAGAAAGTGCTTTTTAAATACCAGAACTTCACAAATTTATGAGAAATAGGTGAAGACATTTCTAATATTACATTATATAATATTGTGTATTTGCTACAACATGTATTAAAATGGCTTAACATGGACAGAAAACAACACATTATTGATAGGGTGGAAAAAGCTATTTGAATATTTACAGCTTCTTCCAAGTCTTTCGAGTGCTCGCATTGGCCATATTAGTTTCTCAGGGACGTTTGTCATGGATGTCCTATGTTACTTTCCTTTTGGATATGACAACTGCATTGTGATTTTTTTGTGGACTATTTGTAACACACAAATAGTTGTGGTTTTTTTTTGGGGGGGGGGGAGGGGTTGGATAGTTTTTCTAAGGATGCAGCATTTCTTAGAAGTAGCACAAAATCCTCTTTTACGTTTAACTTCAGAGTTGCTTAACTTCATCACCCCAGATGAGGACCTGAATTTTAAACTCATATAGAGAATTATAAAGTTAATTTCCTATGATAAAACACATTTAAATGCAGAGAAAGAGCTTGAATTTACTAGCTAGGGAAATTACAGCAAAGCTATAAGCTAATTCTCCTGTACAGTATTTTATAGCTTTGGAAAATCATAGAAGATATCAAGGAAATTTGTCACTTCTGACATTCAGAATACATCTCTCTTTGAAAGCTTTGCCGTTCTGTATATGTTGTCATAGGCACATAAGGTGTTTGAGCAGTAGCTTACAGGCAACAGGAAAATCTCTCCTGAGATAACCTGAGAGACAGAGCTATCTCGTTGGTGGATGAAGCCATTTCGTATTTACTAGTGCCATCTTCAATTACGTCTACTCAAATCCCATGTCAGTTTGTGTCATAAAGAAAACTGAGCCTTCAGTAAAAGGATTTTTTCACTTAAATTTGTAATTATAATTTTACGTTAAAAGTAGCTTGTTGATAAATGGCTCAAACATTTTAATAACTTGAAATTTACCAAAAAAAGGTTCTGTAAACAAACTATTTTGCAAGTTTTGTCTGCCCTCTCAATTTCACTACATTATTTTAAATTCACACAGTGTCAATTAACAGCAACATTGCTAATTGAAGATAAATCCACTTTAAATTGAAATTGACAAATCAAATATAGAGGACGCATAAAAGTATTATAAAAACTTTAAAAGATAAACCATGAGGATATTAATTTATTTTCTTTAGCAAAGAGAATGTTCTTCACAGTTTCCATGTTTGGAAAATGTGGTTACAAAGGAAACAGTGATGGATGTGTCTCCTGTTGCTAGAAGAAAACAGGAATTGCATATATTTGCAGGCTGGGTATTAAACTTACATTTATCCGTAAGATTTTCTATGAAGCTGTGGTGGAACAGCTACCTGTAAAAGTCATGATACCAATTTTCCTTGATATATTTAAGTAGCTAACAAAAATGTATGGGATCAGCAACCCAAAGCACTATGGTAAGGCTATATGTTGGAAATTTTTTGATGGTAAAGATGCAGGGTGAATGCATGGCTAGGAGCAGAAGCCCCTTAGCTTTTGCCATGTTCAGAAGAAAACACGGCAGCAGAACTCACTATCTGAACTCTGTACCACCACGGAGCATTTTTGCTGGATGGACTTCAGGAGTGAATCTGGAATTAGAGTCAGGTAGGAAAAGGATTATTCACTGAAGTCAAAGCAAACTGAAGAGAGAACGATTTGAGAATTAGCATCCAAAAGTTCCTTTTTACAAGCTAGTTAGGCAATGAACCAGCCAACAGGACCCTGGTGGAAATTTCAAAAGCATGTAGACACACAATGTCTAAATTTTCAAAGGAAATTAGAATCTGAGGTGCTTTAAAGATCTCACCTGGGGCTATGTGTGTCTACAGTAGTCACAGCGTTACCTTAAAAATATGGCCTTTCTGCAGCCTACTTTCCAACTCTAAAATTGAAATAACAGCCATAACGATAGTATTGTTTTCTTGCAGTGTGGTGCTGAGAGTAATTTTGCTAAAAAAGACTCAAATTCTCAGGTAGAGCAGAAGAACTAGAACCGCCACTCTCCATGCTGATGTTCACATTCAAGGGTGAGCCCCAAACTTCATCCTGCAAGCCATGGAGGTAACTGCAGGATAGTCAGGGACAGTGACCCACGCAAACAGTTGCCTGTGTGTTTATTTTCTTTCTCACCTCAGTGAAAGATTATCTCCTCCTGCTATTGTCATCAGTAGGATTAAGTCAATCAAATTAAAAGGGTATTTCAGCTGAAAGATGCGATAGCCATGGCTGCAGTTGATCCCAACATATTTGAAACAGTCTGAGGTGAAGTTCTTGCTGCAGTCTCGGGTTTTCCAGTTCTATATAATTGGGATAGGATTTAGCTTTAGAACAACACACCTGATTTCAGATGTTTTCTTGTAGGTGCTTGCATGCACACTAGTATTGAGTAGTCAGTGGAGACAGGCTCTGCTACCTCTAGAGGGATCCACTGGAACCTGGATATCTGTCCATCTCACCCTGAATAAGAAAGCTACTGAACTTAGGCACCTACTGCCATTTGAGTTGTCTTTGGGCTTCCAAAACATCTGTTAGTGGTTGGCAGAAATGCTCATGGAAGTTGCATTCCCTAGATACATTGGCATTGCCTAAAATGACACTATTCAAATATGTCTAATCAACTGAACCCCACTCTTATCTTTGGTCACATTAATTTATCCACGGTGGCTGTGCTGGGAACCTAAGTGTCTCTTGACATGACAAAATCCACAGTGCAGACCACCATTTCAAAGTCTTATTTTTACATGGGAGTCTAGCTGTGGTGCAGTAGAAGATATATAGTAGAAGATATTATATCTCATTGCAAAATGGGACTTTCTTGCCTAATTATATTTTGGTTATATAATTGCATCATGGTTTCAGCTACAATAGTTACTACCGATCCACAGATTGGAGCATAATTTAATAAAAGCATACACTTCTCAGAAGACAGCTCCCACCCCATGCAGGGACATTTAATTTCAGTTTGTTTTGGCTTCTTTCCCTGACTGACAGAAGATAAAATCCTTTTCTACACTATGGCTCTCTGGTCAGTACAAGGGGCTTCTTCTCCATTCCCTGTGTATTATCAGCCCTCTTCTAGCTCAAGAGCACAACTGAAGTTAAGTTGAAAAACTGAATGCAATTATTGGTTATTAAGACTTTGCAAACCTGTGACCTTTACTGTGACTTCTGCTCCTAACAGAAGCACTTAAAAGGTCAGATACTATATA